AAAGGTCTTCAGACCCTCTCAATCTGACTCTCTAGCGGGCGACTAACCTCCACCGGAGTCGACAGATTGAGGCCCTAAGAACAAAACCTCCACTACCGGAGTAAATCCGGTACAGAATAGTGAGTTGGCTCCTCGACTAAAGTCACCAACTCCCTACCTTCAATCAAGGATGCTCTATCAGCCTAGGCAGATATTCTCATTCTAGGTTAAAGCAGAAACAACAGGAATTTGATCAGGATTCAAGTCATTCAATCATAAAACCTCAATCGAATATAATCAATCACAGAATCAGTACTTGGGTTCATACAATCAATCTCAACATACAGAACTAGGGTTTCCCACACCCAGATGAATGGGAGAACTACTCCATGGAGAGAGAAGCAAAAGCAGAATCAGATGCGGAAATCATACTGTGAAGATGGATTTCTGCTCCTGGACGTTGAATCGGCACTTCTCCAAGCTCAAACCAAGCTCCAATGGTGTTGAAGATCGATCTAGGGCACTTGGAGACTCTTGTTCGTCGCTTTCTCTCTCTAGGAATCGCTCTATCTCTCTCAAAACTCGAATCCCCTTCTCTTTGGCTGAAAATCTGCCTAAAAGGGCATCATTGGCCAAAACACGGTCGAGGGCACGACCGTGTTTTGCCTCAGCCCGCCCGTGTTTTGCCTCAGCCTTAAAAGCACGGCCACGGGCAGCTTGAAAACACGGTCGTGTTCAGGCTAAAACACGGCCGTGTTTTCCTCAGGCTTGCCCGTGTTTTTTAGGTGGTTCAAGCCACACTTGCAAGGTCTCGGCCATAAAAGCACGGGCAGGAACACGGCCGTGTTCTGAGGCCTCCTGCCCGTGTTTTGGCCCTGGCTTGTCCAAACGCCTTCCAAACGATCCGAAACTCGTGCTTGGCCTTCCCTTTGACGCCTGAGACCTGAAATAGGACAAAGTAGCACAACCCGGCGTAAAATAGGCCAAAACACACAACCATGCTCCGCAAATGGATAAGAAATAGGGGTATAAAATCATGTAATTATATCGTTATCAGTTGGACCGTCTGTAATGATGGTTCACTATTGGACCCCGATTCTCATTAGTTTGATTTGGACCGGATCGTTGCACACACTCATAGTAAAGAGTGTGGTGCGACTTAAAATCTTCCACTTTATTAAGTAACACACATTTGAATCAAGATGGTATTTTCAATTTTTCATCATGAGGTTTTTTTTTTTTTTTGTTAAACATATATAAACAAGTGGGAATCTGGACGACGAGTGTTAAGAACCAATTGATTTCAATAACATGAGCTGTTAGGAGTTCGAATCGTTGATATTCGAATGGTCACTGAAAACTCTGATACTATGATTTTTTTTCCTCCTCTTTCCTTGAGAAATATAGCAAGAAACCCAGCCAGCCAGCCAGCCAGCTAGCCATCGTTGTTGTGTGTATATAAGAAGAGGCTTCTTCTCCTTCCCTCTTACCTACTCTCAAACTCAACTGATCAACCGCCCCTCTCTTCTTCTCTCCCTCCCACTCCACACTGTCAACTCTCTGGTTTGTTTCCTCCATCTTTTTTTACGTTCATTGATCGCAGGTGCAGCATCTTCAGGATTCACATGCATTTCCATATATTCTTAAACCAAAAAAAAAACTGCAGTAGAATACAGCCAGTGTAGGTATATTCATATATACGTACGGTGGCCGGCAGTTTAGGGGGGGTTTTGTTTTTGGAATATGTCGTGAGAATCCTGATGATGCTGCTTCAGTGATATAATGATGATGACTTACCGGCCGGCCGGCGGCCGTTAAGTACAGTAGTACTACAGCTACTACTCTTCCCAACATGATACCAATATTGTGTACACTTTTCCTCCGGCCACCTGCAGGTAACTGTTAATTCATTTTGGTTAATATCATATTTAAAATGATTACGTATCTTAATTTCTCATCCGTTTAAACACTTTTTTTTTTTAACTGTCATTCGATTTAGGGGGGTGAACAAAATGAACCGTACTCACCCGTTCTAGCCGCACCCCACCTTTATTTACGGCTAAAATTAAGGTTTAAAGTTGGGTTATAAGTGTTTTCTTTTGTGGAACTCGTATCTTTTAAGTTGGTTGGTTGGGGACGACTTTGGATTATGAAACCCGTAAATAACCGACCTAACTCATGTTAGTACGTTACAACCAGTGGCGGACCCAGAATTTTTTTATAGGGGTGTCCTCTTTAAAAAATAAATTAAATAAAAATAAAATAATTAATAAAAATAAAATTGTAAATATGAAAATACCTTACTCGTACAGGTTAAAAAAAGTCCATGATGTGTTTTCATATTCGGAAATAATTGTACAATGCACTTGGTGTCTATAGTGTTTAAAAAAATTGTCTCTATATACACTACTAGACAATCATTCACGAACTTATCGCATATTCGATTTGTAAACTTGTTCTTTATGTAACCCAAAGCTAAAAGACTCTTTCGGCACTTGCTGTACAGTCATAAAATCAATACAAATTAAGAGTAGTTTGAAATTAGTTTAATTGTTAGGTTTTTAAAATAATTAGAGATAGGGAATGCCATTTTACTATTACACATTGTTCAAAATCGAACAACAAATGAGTTTAGCTCAACGAAAATTAAGTTTATTAATAATAATAGTGTTCTAGATTTAAATTATCCAACCTACCACTTATATTCCTATACACAAATGACAGTAGGATAATTATTTTTTCAAATTTAAGGGGTGTCCCTCACTACCAAATTTTTTTTTTCATACGTAAATTACCACCGGGGTGGATATTTTGTCCGGGGACACCCCTAAACCCCCTGGGTCCGCCCCTAGTTACAACTATTGTCCTAACTATTCGTATTCAAAACATATTCATATTGTGTGCAAGCATATTTGTCATGAGGAAGTTTGGATATTTTGTCATGTTTTTTCCTTTATAATCTCACTGATCTAATGCATTCTTCTGTTGAAAATTTAGACGTAGATTTAATAAAAATATAGTATACTATTCATGTGTTAGTTTAAAGTGAATAACTCCTTTAGCTTTTTTCGGTAGATATTTATGAAAATACTAATTTCTGTTGAAACAAATTGCACTTGTTCATTGAGATCCAGACAACAACTTTCATGCATTTTGATGATTTTCCCTTTGATTTATTTGTTTGAAATTGAATTAGGTATATAATATATATATTTGGCTTATAAGATATTCCCTCTAATGTTTTTTTTAAATCAAGCATGCCCATATACTTTAAAAAATTATCAAACATGTCATTATGTTAAAATTTTCATTAAAAAAAATAGTCAACCATAGTTGAACCGAGATTCAGAAAACTCGACATTGACAAAATCCCCCTCATTTATTTTTATAGGTCTTGTTAAAGTGAAATTAATGGAGGTATTTTTTATAAAAAGACAGAATGTAGAAAGCATCCGTACTTTAGATTAAAATATGACACTCTTGACCGATTTCCCTTACATCGTACAAAAGTCAATGGTTGAGATCAGGGCACATCGAATGGATGTGTGCCAAAATTAACACAATCGCCCTTGAACGCCAAGAAATCAACAACACAATTTGCTTACCTATAGAGATGACTAATATTCACTTCCCATCTCCTACCTAAGAGCTCTTCTGATATGTTGAGCTACCAAAACATAGTTATGATCCAACGATGTCGATTGTTGTTAGAAGAGTCTAAATTGAGCTAGACCTTGTTCAGTAAAATTTAAAAAATGAAATTATTAGGGATATTTTAGACACTTGTATCGTTCAAACTAAGGTTCGATTATGGCTGACGATTTTTGGATGAAAATGTTAACATAAGGACATGTTTGATGTTTTTACAAAGAATAGAGACGTGTTTAATGTAAATAATAGTAAAAAGACATGTTTAATAAAACTCCATAGTAGAGGAGCATATTATACCTAGAATCTTATATATATATTTGCATTTTTTTGTTGGGTTGAGTAATTACTTAAATAATAAATGTATACTTCACCCGACTCAAACCAATAATAAACAAACGGTAGAGTTCTAATTTATTGGACGGGTTTGAATTGCTATTTTTCAAGATCGAAATATATGAATAGGATGATAAAAACAGAGGTGTACGACGGGTTGGTCTATACCAGATCGCACCAGACCAAACCGACGCTCAGACCACAGTCTGCACCGTTACGAATCGAGTTTTTAGTTTTCTGCATCGTACCAAACCGGACCGAATGCACTGTTGGTCCCTTCCTTAGTCCATAAATATCTCTTACAATAGAACCGCTGTTTTCCTGACTTTGGTCCGGTCTGGTTCGGATCTGACCGTTGGCCATCCGCCCATCCCTAATAAAAAGGGTTATAGGTATAATATGCCCCTCTACTATGACGCTTTATCAAACATGCCCCTCTACTATTTTTTACATCAAACATGCCCCTGTACTTTGTAAAAATGATCAAACATGCCCTTTTGTTAAAATTTTCATCCAAAAACCGTTAACCAAGGCCGAACTTTAGTTTGGGCGACACAAATGACTAAAATATCCATAATAAATTCACTTTAGAATTTTTTTCGTTCTTTTGTATAATCAAATCATTCAAATAATTTCACTTTGAAAAGACCCAGTGAAATAAAACAGGGGACAAAACTGACATTTTTCCTCCCATTTGCCGATGTCGGGTCATCTAAATCTCGATTCAACCACGATTGACGATTTTTTCAATGAAAATTTTAACATAAGGGCATGTTTGATAATTTTTTCAAAGTACAGGGGCATATTTGATGTAAAAAATAGTAGAAGGACATATTTGATAAAACGTCATAGTAGAGGGGCATATTCTAACGATAAAATCCGAACCACCGGTTCCATGAACCCCTAATTTGATTTATAGTATACAAGGCCAATGAATTGGGCCAGACCGGCTCACTTAAGCCCAATACTGACTTATCAATCGGCCCACCACATTACTTGAATCTCTTTCCACGGCGTTTTCTCTCCTCTCGGCCTCTCCGCCATCTCCAGACCGGCGTGAGCCGTGGAGTAGCGCTCAGTCGAGAGCCGGAGCAGCAAAGGGAAAACGAGGGGAAAAAAATCCGACGGACTCTGAACCATTCAGCGTTTCGCCTTCAAGCTTCTTGCTACATCGCGAGGAAGGGAGATTTTCCCCCAACAGTTCTCCATGAAGTTGAATAGATTTGCATCGATCCCAGTATGCGGCGTGCTTACGTTAATGGGTTTCGTTTACTACATCACGATCTTCATCTTCATCGAAGATTGGGTTGGCTTGGCCACCTCAGCCGGGACTCTGAATGCGCTCATCTTCACTTTGATGGCCTCTCTCTCCCTTTTCTCTTTCGTCGCCTCTGTGCTGACCGACCCTGGTTATGTCCCGCCCTCTGCTGCGCCTGATGTCGAAGCGGCTGCAGTTTTGGATCCGAAAACCCACAAAGATGTAAAGCTTTCTGATTGATTTACATACATTCGTGCGGAAATTTTAAGGAGGGACGAGGTGAATTTTACTTTAAAGCTAAATTCGTGATCTTTGAGTTTACCCTAATGGATGCTTGATTTCCATTTCACAGAGCTCGCAACTTAGGCAATGTGAAAAGTGTTCTAGATATAAACCTCCAAGGGCTCATCACTGCCGGGTCTGCAGAGTTTGTGTTTTGAGAATGGTATGTCAGTGTAGCAATTGGGCATCTAATTTCTACTAGGTTGATTGAATTCATTAATTTTGAGCTTGCTGATCACCGTGGAAGGATGGACAGTGATTTGTTTTTTTTTCCTATACTGGATGCAGGATCATCATTGTCTTTGGATAAATAATTGTGTTGGTCATTGGAACTATAAGGCCTTTATCGTTTTAATCTTCTATGCAACTGCAGCAAGCATCTATTCTACGGTAGGTCTAATTTGCAATTTTTTTTGACATTTGAATGTGTTCAAAGCTGATCAAATCTCTAAGGTGTGTATAAGAAAAGGCTCTTGGAATGCATGATTAGGTTGTGATTATGAACAGTTCTTCACATAAAGATTGGGACTTCGCCGGAGTGCTTCCATTCAAGATTTTTTATGTGAGTTCTTGTACTTGATTTTGCTTGATTGCTTTGCTATTGTTAGCATCACCATTTTGAACTGTTGATCATTTCTGCCATTTCTTTTGTTTCAAGTGCCCCGTTGTGCCATTGCTGAAATTTGGCTTTAGTATATTTGATCGTGCAAATGTTTGATAATGGTGTACTGCACTTAGATTATTTCGGGGACAATGATGGCTGGTTTGAGCATCACACTAAGTACTCTGCTGGGCTGGCATATCTACCTCATTACTCGTAATATGACAACAATAGAGGTCAGTTTTGTACATCCAAAAGTAGGCGAGTGCGCAGCAAGGGTTCCTTTTCTCTTCTTCTTTCGCACATTCTTTTATTAATCATGTTTTTTCTGAACTTTACAGTATCATGAAGGAACAAGAGCAGCTTGGTTGGCTAAGAAATCCGGCCAGATTTATCGACACCCTTTCAACATTAATATATATGCAAATATCTCCTCGGTACCTCTCTCTTTATCTCTTGCACGCTGCAAGCCTCATATTGCACCGACTGTGTATATTTTGATACTTCTGAGTGAATGCAGCATTCTTGCACCTGCTCCATTGCGCCGTGACATATTTTGGTTGTATGCCTCCTTATAAAGCATGTAATATTGACTAAGTTCCAATTCCTTGCTGTTGTGCAGGTTTTGGGTCCGAACATGCTAAAATGGTTTTGTCCCACTGCAGTCAGCTACCTGAAAGATGGAACGAGCTTTCCTACCTCACATCAGAGTTAATTCAGTTCACTGGATCTGTCAGGTAGAATCTGAATATTTTTTTTCCTATTCTTTACTGGTCATGGTTGGAGAAGATGAGTTGAGAGACTGACCGGCGATGGAATAATCTTGCTCTATGTAAATATGGGAGATCGAGTTTTGCAGCACACTTTATAGTGAGGTGTTGATTATTTTTTTATGTGCAATTTTTAATGCTGTACTGTACTGTTCTGCAATTGATCAAAAGATGTAGAAGTTGTATAGAGGTTATAGTTCTTACAAGAGATTCATGTTGTGCATAAACCACCAAGGTTTGCTTGCTTGACTTTAGCTAGGTTCTTATTTCCTGCCATCTTTCTATCGTTCTTCAGAAAATGGTATGAACGTAACAGCAAACAGCTTGAGCTCGTTGATATTTGAACAGTTGACTTGCCCTGCCATTTGTAATCTTCTTGGACTTCAGTCACCTGCATTCCGTTTCCATGTACCATTTTGTGTTCATGCTTTTGATCACAGCGGATCTGGCTTTCTCTGGTTCCTCTGTTCCTTTGTTTATGCAAATCGACCTTTTTATCATCAAATCGCAACAGAGTATGTGATGTGATGTGATGTCAATTCGTACATGAGTATTGGATCTAAGTGCATGCATAAAATATTTATCGCTCTTTCTATATCCTACATGTAAATAATTATTGCACATGCTATTTTAAACTAAGCATGGAGTTGCCTGTATATGACAGATCATAACTAAAATGTTATTTATGGGGGGGGACTCCATTCACTTGATCTTATCTCCACATCACACCTTAATTTGGAATTTTCCACAACCATCCATAATAAATATTATTTCTTATGTAAAAAAAAATATATATATATATATAACATCATTCTTACAAGTTACATAATTGTTCAACAATTTTCATTCCATTGTTCAATTTGGCTAGTCTTTTTGTAAGCATAGCTTTACAACTTTTTTCTTTCCTCTTTTCGACTCCGATAAAAATCTCTTAAATTGAGATTTTAAAAATATAATAAGACGGATATGATATATATTATACACGTGATTTGAGATACTTTGTAGACATGTCTGTAACCCAAAGCTTTGTTGTACCATATTCATCACAAGTCATCACACATTTAGTTCCAAGCATGGTTGTCACGCTGCCCGGCGTGCCACCGGTTGTACCGGGTTCAACCGGTATCGGTCATAAAACCGGCGTGACACCACTGGTATGACCGACATGATCGATATACGAATCTCTAAGTAAAATGACCTTATTTTAGTGAATTTAATTGATAAAAATTATTTTATTATTTATTTTATTAGTATAAAAGTTAAATATTGATGTTATTTGTTGGATTCAAGTATAAATGTTTAGGTATTGACGTTAAATATCATGTTTAAATATGAGTATTTACAATTTTATTTGTAATATTGACCGACATGAACCGGCACAAACCGGTATGTGTCACCGGTTGAACCATTCCACTTGTTAAACCGGCACACTGACATAAACCGGTTTGACAACCCTGGTTCCAAGACATCTAAATGAATCTAGCTCATTTTAGGATATTTAATAACCTTATGGCCCATTACCCATTCTATAAGTTTTATCGGCCGATACTTCTTGTTTATTCATTGTGTTTCACTTTCACCCAATTAGGATGTAACTTGACAACTCAAATGTAACATGAGTTGTCGTTAACTCGTTATTAATCAATTCAATCTTCAACAATAATTTCAAGCTCGATAATTAGCATATCCTATTGATCATAATTAATCATGAGTATCATATTATACAGTTGATTCTATTAATTGATACAGATAAATAATCATAGTCATTAGGATCCACGGACAAATACCAACGATTAGACCAAATGTACATCTATGAATGATTTGTTGTAAGCTTTTTAGTTACTTCAAAGTATTTTTGTCAAACAATTGATATTTTGGATTCGATTTATCTTTCGATAAACATAGTTGTCCACCTAGTTACACGAAAAGCCACATCCTTATTTTTCGTCACGTCCGTACGTTTCAACTGTGTTTCTATGTTTTCTAAGCTGTATATGGAAAACGGAGAGAAAAATGCCAAATATTGAAATTCGAATGCAAAAACTTGTATCGTGTAGAAGTTTTAATTGTAATGGGAGTGGAGAACTTAAAACTAAATTCAGTAACACATTAATTCGTTGATTAGAAAAAGAGAAGGAGCTGTTCGCGCCGCGTCCTGAGAATTCCGAAACAGGGGCTGCTCCTCCTCCCCTGTTTTACGAGTGTCTGCAGCAGTCTCCTCCAGATTCAAGAACTCTCGATTTCCTGAAGAAATTTTTTCCAGCGTCGAAGCTCCTACTCGTAAGTGTAACGCTCCGAGAATCTTGAGCCTTTTCCTGTTTGGTCGCAGGGAAAATTTGCAGGAAAAAAAGGCTGCAACTTTCTGTGTTACTTTTTATTTTGGTGCCCCAGAGACAGAGACGAAACAGAGCAAGTGTGTCAGTGTGGAAGCTAGTTACAGTGACTTGCAGCTTTCTTGAACAATTCAACAGAGAGAATCCCCTTAAAACTCTGAGCCTACCAGAGCTCCTCCATTGCCGTCTCTGTTTTTAGCCTTCCAATTTCTGTCTTATCGGTACTTTCCACAAAATTTACTACATTCTTATTATTACTCTTGTCATTAATCGCAGACCTACCATCCATCTCACTCTCGATTCTCTTCCAAGATTTTTAGAAGCCGAGTTGAATTTCCATTTTTAAGCCATTCCCCAGCCCCTCGAAACCCGCACTTTTTCAAGCACTTCTGGTAGATTTCCTTCCTCTGTTTCCCCCCTCTGTTCACTTCCCTTATCCAAGAATTGTTTCCCCAAACCTCGACCATTTGATTCCTCGTCGGGAAAGATCGAATCTTTACGTTGTGGGTCATTGAAATATTCGCGAATCATCAACTGGGTTTTCCTTTTCCTTTGCTTTACTTCCTCCCCTTTTCGCTTTTCAGGGATTCGTTCATATATAAAAGCAGAAACTGGGACGGGGAGTAAGAGAGAAGAAGCAGAGGAAAAGAAAGAAAAAAGATGAAGAATTCTGTGTCGGAACAGAGTTTTTACATAGACAGCGATGAAGAGGACGACAAAGACTACAGCAGAGATGTCGAAGGGGAAGAAGAAGAAGACGTCGGAAACCTATCGGATTCCGACGAGTCCACGGCCGATAACAACCGGCAACAGAGCAAAACCGGCTCTTACATTTCTCAATGGCCTCAAAGTTACAGGTTTGCACATTAATATCATCCTCTGTTTCTCCCCTGTTCTTTTGCTCTTCTATTAGGTTAAATTCCAGAGAGGGGAAAACAGGGCACTCTGTTTTTTTCCTTCTTCTGTTTGAATCCTTGGTTTTGGCAGGCAGTCAATCGATCTATACAGCAGCGTGCCATCTCCGGCGATCAATTTCCTCAACACGCCATCTCTGACGAGGCTGGGAAGCTCGTTCCTGTCATCTTCACTGATAAGAAGGCACACCCCGGAATCATTTTCTACCCCGGCGGCGGCGACGGCGGTGACAGCGCCTCTGTTGGAGAAAGAAGATGAGCCGAAGAGGAAGAGTTCTCTGGCGCTGCTCCCGCCGCCGATCCCGCGGCGGAGATCTTCCATCAGAAAAGACGATGGCAAGCCTTTCTCTATGATTGCCCATGGCCACGACGAACTCCCCATCTCTCGTCAGAGCTCCTTTGGTCAAGCCGTGCTCAATGGTAAGCAACCTAGTAGCTAACATGCCCCTTATCCAATTAATTAAAGCTTCAATTCACTTAACCAGGAACTTGCTTTTGAAATGGCGACATCTCTTTTGTTTCTTTGCTTCTTGTTGTGACAAATTGAATAGTAACGTAAATGATAAAGAACCTTGTCTTAAACGAGAATCGCGTCTCATGATATGAATCCTGCGGTGCCACTTGCCTGGCTTGAATCGGATAGTTAATTTGTCAGATGGAAGGCAGGGGCAGCATTATCTTGTCTCAACTGCATGTTGCTGCTGTTGCAAAGCACATGGTGCACATGATCAGAGAGCGAAATCAAGACACCCAAAAGGCCAAAATCAGGGGTGCAAAAGATATGCTCGTTCGAAACTCGACTAATTTATCGATGAGTCGAGTTTGAGATGAGTCGTGTTGAGCTCGCGAGTCTCGCAAGGCTACTCATTTTGGTGGCTTGTCGAGATCGAATTAATACAAACTTGATTTTGTTTATTAACGAACCGAACTCAAGTTAAAGACAAAACTCACCTTGACTCGACACGACTCGGCAGATTTGCAGCTTTACCCAAATCAAACAACCTGACAAGTTATATGGTTTTGATGGTGTGGGAAGATGAACAATTGAAACGATGGATTTGAACAATTGCAGGGCTGAACGTGCTGTGTGGGGTTGGGATACTGTCGACGCCATATGCAGCCAAGGAAGGAGGGTGGGCGGGGCTCTCCATCCTCATCGTATTCGGCCTCCTCTCCTTCTACACTGGGATGCTCTTGCGCTACTGCCTCGACAGTGAGCCTGGACTCGAGACTTACCCTGACATCGGCCATGCCGCATTCGGCACCCCTGGCCGCATTGCCATCTCCGTGAGTTCCCCCATTAAGTTATAGCTGATTGACGATGATTATCTCTAAAATGGGCTGACCCTTATATTGTCATTGCTGCACAGGTCATACTGTACGTGGAGCTATATGTAAGTGCTTTATCTCATCTTCCCCTAGTGGGTTCTGAATCTAATGTTTCCTGGGGGGCACAATGGCGTTGATTCTATAGCAAATGGTGGTGTTCATTGTGTCTTTCACAGGCTTGCTGCGTTGAGTACATCATATTGGAGAGCGACAACTTGTCCTCGCTGTTCCCAAATGCACACCTGAGCTTGCTTGGGATGGACATGGATGCACACCACCTGTTTGCTTTATTGACAACCCTTGCTGTCCTCCCCACCGTCTGGCTCAGAGACCTCAGGGTTCTCAGCTACATCTCTGGTAACTAACTAACTTTACAAAAGACATAAATTTACCCTTCAAAGTTCCAAGCTTTCAACTGTTGAACTTTTTCTGTGGCAGCTGGTGGAGTTATTGCATCAGTTCTAGTGGTTCTGTGCCTGTTCTGGGTTGGCCTAGTTGATCAAGTCAGCGTCCACAGCAAAGGCTCGGTTATCAACATGGGGACGCTTCCTGTGGCTCTTGGTCTCTATGGCTATTGTTACTCAGGGCATGCCGTCTTCCCAAACATCTACACTTCCATGGCAAGGCCACACCAATACCCTATAGTTCTCTTGGTCTGGTAAATACAGACTCCATCACATGAACTAACTTCCCTCTTGCTTGCTTGCTGAAAGTTCCCTTCTTGTTTCTTAATGATGGGTTTTGAATTTCTCGAGTGTTTGTTTGTAAAAAATGAGCAGCTTTGTGATCTGTACAATGCTGTACATGGGAGTTGCAGTGATGGGGTACACGATGTTTGGACAGGCCACAGCATCTCAGTTCACTCTCAACTTGCCCAAGGACCTCGTTGCCTCTAAGATCGCGGTGTGGACAACCGTCGTCAACCCTTTCACCAAGTATGCACTGACGATGATGCCAGTGGCGTTGTGTCTGGAGGAGTTGCTGCCATCAAACCTGAACAAGTCGTATGTGTATGGGATGGGGATTAGGACATTGTTGGTCCTCTCAACTTTGCTCGTCGGTCTCTCTGTCCCCTTCTTTGGTCAGCCACCTCTCTCTCTCTCTCTCTCTGTCAATCTTTCATGCTCACGTTCTTACGGATTTATGAACATGTAAGCTGATCGATTGAGTCTCTTCTTCCTTTCTGGTTCAGGACTGGTGATGTCGTTGATCGGATCATTGCTCACAATGTTTGTGGTTAGTTTCTTGCTGCCATGTTACTTCTGTTAAGAGTACCATTCTTTCTTCCACATCTCAAGGCTTTGGACAATCTTAATACACACTCTTGTCTGAATGATGTGGCAGACTTTGATACTTCCTTGTGCTTGCTTCCTGAGCATCGTGAGGAAAAAGGTTACTCCGTTCCAGGTTCGGATTCCCTTTCTTCTGCTGCTGCAAATCGAATGTTCCTGTTCTTGAAACTCTAGAAAAATGCATGGAATAGAAATCCCATTGATGTTGCCTACTTTTGAACTCAATGCAAGAAATGCTGTGTGGTTCCTTTTGTAGGTTGCGCTGTGTGGATTGATAATTACAGTTGGGTTAGTGGCATCAGCTTTTGGGACTTACTCTACCTTGTCCAGTATCGTTGCCAATTTGAGCGGCTAGAGGTTTTTTTTTCTCCCAGTTTCTACTTTTTGTTAGAGGAGGTTTAGGTTATGTGAGGGAGGAGAAGAGTTGTTTTGTATTTTTAAATTTGGGCAATTTTGAGTGTGTAAAACCCAAATAGCATTATTCCCATTGAATTTTGCGTTGCAATTGCAAGTTTGGTGCTTTTTTTTTTCTTCTCAGTTTGCATCAGAGTTTTTTTCAGTAGAATTGCCAAGGTTAAGGTTCTGCAGTCTGTATAGGATAACAGAGCAACGTTGCTGCATGGAGGGGAGCAAAACCAAGATAAATACCAAGCTTCCCTGAATTACAATTATACCCTTCAGAAAATGAAGTGTTGTGACTGTTTGGTACAAAAATGTAAAGTTTTGTGTCCGTTTATCCTAATTACTATAGTTATCGGTGGGTACAGTGTCGGCCGGTTGAACCAGATATTACCTGGTATCGATCAAGGGAAAGTGATTCACTGACACACCTACAACTGAACTCCACCATTACTAAGGAAAACAACAATCCATCGATTGCTTCCACAGGTCGATCGAATTCAGGGGGGAAGTATCTACCTTAACAAGAATGCCTGGCTTTGTATTATGAAATATTATGTTCGGTTGGAGAACCAACTAGTCGACATTTCGTGGAATAGATCAACCTCTTGGTATGCATATCAATCGAATTGAAAAAGTAGATGCACACATCAACATGGATTTACTATAGCGGTCGACTACTTTCAAGTGAAGACATTAATCAACACACATATGTTGTCCAACCACTGTTATTTTCTTTTGCAACGGTGGAGTGATGTGCAATACTCAAACCCTTCTAATAGTATAATATTGTTCCAACACTAATAAGATAATGACCAATCGATAACCTTTTTGTTGACTGTTATTTTTTTTTGTAATGATATTGCAAACTAACAAGTGTATCGTATGATCGATCATTTAACAAAAGAGCTCGACAGTTTTCTCAAAATCATGATGACTTGCTAAATCATCGTAGCAAAAGTGTGTTTCCTCCCAATTCCCATCCAACGGCGCAGAGGTCTCCTGCCTTTTATTCTCTCTATTATTATCAATTTCTTTAAACGGGGTTTTCACTAAAATGGAATTTTAATCTGTTTAAAAATATAATAATGTTAGTTGAGTAATTAACTAAGGGAAAAAAAATAGGCGACCGTGTCCAAGAATCTCCTCCTACCTCTGCTCTGTTTTTTTGGTTGTCTCATGTGTAAATCTCCTTCTTCTTCCTCCTTCCTCCTAATTAGTTCCTTTCTTAATTACAAAACAAAATTTCCCTTAATACTTATCGATCACACAGTTGCCTGCATTGTTCCCCTACACACTGCGTCGTCTTCCACCCGTCTCTTTCTCCCTTTCCCCCTTTGTAAGTCTCGCTCAATCCCTCTCTACGTGATTTGGTGTCGTGTGGTTTTCTCACACCTAAATCTTGTGGATTAGTTAACTGTTGGTATAAAAATTATTCTGTTTCAGGAATATTTATTGTTATTGAATTTGATTCTTTTTGTCGCCATTGAGGGGTTCCGGTTCAAGAGGAAGGGATTAGTGATGGATTGATTGACAGTTCTTTCCTTTCCTTTCTGGGTTCAGTTTGGTGCGGCGATTCTGGGCGTAAGCAAAGAAGGTATTTGTTATTTTGTTTCCAAGTTTCGGTTTTTGATGTGCTCGTGTGATACTGTGGTAAAATGGGTTTGTTTGGTTGCTGAGAAAGCGCAGGAAAATGTGGTGGGAGAATTTGTCAAAAGTGTTGTTTGATCATGTGGGAGTTTTTCCTTCTCTTTTGATATGTTTGTTGGTTACCCTCTGCAAAAAAGTGAATTTGAGCCTGAATTCTGTGCTCCTTGTCCGACTTTTGCTGCCTTGTCACTGAGTGACTGTTGTTCAACTTCCAACTTCAATAAATTCTGCCAGCTTGAATTTGTGATTTAAGTTCCTGATACTTCAGAGATGTATTGTCATGATTCTTGGGTTCTTGGTTTTCTTCTTCTTTTCCACTCGTAAATGAATCTCCTTGCATTGATTAAATTTCATAAACCAAGGTGTTTTTGTATTGAGAATCTTGGTTTATGTCGTCCTGTTCTAAGCTTTGGGTGGTGTTGCTGTTCTCAGCCATTAACTATAGGTACCCAAAACCTTTGATTGCTGGAGATGGCCAGTGGGAGCAACATAGATATGCTGCCAATCCTGGATGATCGTCTACAAGACTCCAATGTGAGTTTGGAGCAACGATTACAGAGTGAACTAAACCTCATGCTTCGGGCTCAGCGGAATAATCAACGCATGGTTGATCGAGAGAGGGATCTTAATATGTATAGGAGCGGGAGTGCACCACCGACAGTTGAGGGATCGTTACGTGCTGTGGGGAGTCTTTTTCAGAACTCCAATATTAATGGCATTAATAATAATGGTTTTGGCAATAGTAGCAGCACTAGTAATAATGCGCTGATGACAGAAGATGAAATCAGGTTGCACCCAGCATATCTTTCATATTATTATTCTAATGATAACATAAATCCTAGACTACCACCTCCCTTGTTATCGAAAGAGGATTGGCGTGCTGCACAACGGTTTCAGGCTGCCGGGTCTTCCTTTGGAGGCATTGGAGACCTGAGGAAGAACAATCTGGTTGGTGATGGGGATAGTTCATCTTTGTTCTCTATGCAGCCAGGACTTTCTGCACAGAATGCTGAGAAGGAATTAATGGAACTAAGAAATGCTAATAGAACCAATTTCAGCAGACAAACTGCGGGTGTATGGCCAGACAACAACTCAGATGGTCTAACTGGATTGCAGGGCTCTGGGATTGGGACAAGGAGGAAAAGCTTTGCTGACATTCTGCAGGTAATGAAACCAAATTCTTGTTTCATTAGTTATATATTATAATGATCCCCCTATGGAGCCGTTCTTTGTATTTTGATACATCTTCTCATACTTGCTATAATTTTTTTTTTGTCAATATAAGTTTCTTTATAAGTTATAGCTATGTCCTTGTGGCTACTAGCACAGACTTAAAGGTTGTTGCCGCATTTTGATAATTTTTATGTGTTTTTCACTTAAAAATGTATGCGTTTCTTTACAAGTGTTTTTGCTTTTCGACGAGTGAAACTGATGTAGTTATGTTTTTGTAGGAAGGACTCGATCAGTCTCCTTCCATGTCAGGCCATTTGTCACGACCTGCAAGTCATAGTGCTTTTGGTGATCTTGTCAATACAACTGTGTTATCTGATCCCATTGCAGCTGGGTTGACAAATGGAATGGAGTCAATAGACCGTAGGAAAGCAGGAACACCTCCTCCTGGATTTGGCGGGCTTCAAAGCCCTGGTACTAGTGTTTCTCCTTCTTTTGCATCTGCCGTGGGTGCATCATTATCAAGAAGCACAACCCCTGAACAGAGGCTGTTGGGTGGGAGACCCCCTACTCCCGGTCTTCCTCCTGCTGGAAACAGAGTTAGCCCGGTTGAGAAGAATATTTCTGCTGTTGGTTCAAGTGTACCGAATGGCCATTCGACTGGCTTGAGTGATTTAGGTGAAATTACAGCTGCACTATCTGGTTTAGGGCTCTCACATTCTAGACATACAGATCAAGATAGTGTTTTACAAGGCCGGACTCAACTTGATAGGCAAGCTGGAGATATGTCCAATGGTCAAAATCGAAGTTTACAGCATTCTGAGAATTTCCCATTATCTTCTGATTATATTAATATGGCTAGTAAAATAGGAGTCCTCTCGAATTTCGATGGTTCTTTTGTTAACTCGAATGGAGAAGTTCGCATTCCTAAAAGAACTTCTTCCTCTGCAAATCTTCACTCGACCGTAAGTTCCTCAGGCCTTGGAAGCTTGGAAGGTGCAGATTTTCGATATCAAAATATGAATATTCCAAGTAAGAATTTGGCAGTTCATTTGATTTATTATTTATTTTCCTCTTGCTTTATAAAATCATTATATATTAAGTCTATACCATTACACGTAAAGGCGGTTCTTTCTAAATAGTTTCTTGTTTCTTTTCTCTGCTTTAGGTTCAGCGCTAGATGGTAGTACAATTGCACAAAGTTTGAATAGACTGGGGAATCAAGTAGGGTCTGATCTTCATTCTCCCTCTACGGATCTTCATTATGCTCAGTACATGCGTAGATCACCGGATTATTCAAACCATACATCAGCTGGTTCAAGTGGTCCTCAGTTTAGAAATTATTTAGGCAAGTCACATGGAGACCTTAATGATATTCAGAGAGCATACCTTGAGCTGATGCTTGCTCAACAGCAGCAAGAATATGATCTGCCACTTTCTCGTAAGGCTGGCACTTTGAATCAAGCATACTATAGGAATCCATCATACGGTCTTGGGGTACCATATCCTGCAAACTCAATGGGGAATTCTGTGCTTCCTTCTGTTGCATCAGGAAATCTTCATAATGAGCGAGTTGCACACTTTGCTTCCATGATGAGAAGCTCAATGGGAGGTTCTATTGGCTCATGGCATTCTGATATTGGTGGGACTGGTGAAAGAAGATACGGCTCATCTTTACTTGACGAGTTTAAGAGCAACAAGACCAGGTCCTTTGAACTCTTAGATATTGTGGGTCACGTTGTTGAATTCAGGTATGTGCTTTAGAAGCTTTATCCGGAATTTGGTTTGCTTCAGCAGCATTGGAAATATCATATGTAATCTTTCCCCTTGTAACATGCAGTACGGATCAGTATGGCAGTCGGTTTATTCAGCAGAAACTAGAAACTGCTACAAGTGAAGAGAAGGACAAGATATTTCCTGAGATCATCCCTCATGCTCGTACCTTAATGACGGATGTCTTCGGGAATTATGTTATTCAGAAAGTATGTGCCTTTGCACAAGAAAACCCAGTGAATTTCCATACAGTTAGCATAATTAGTTACCAAATCATTTTCGTGTGCAGTTCTTTGAGCATGGAACTGAAGGCCAAAGGATGGAGTTGGCTAACAAGCTCACTGGTCATGTCTTACCTCTCAGCCTCCAGATGTATGGATGCAGGGTAATCCAGAAGGTACGAACTTGTGTCATGAATATTTGAACATGTGTTGCACAACATATATCTGTGCATGTGTCTGCGCATTCTTCTCCTAATCACACCCATTTGAAGATTTTACACTCTCTCTAAAAGTTTCATTAGTTCGAAAACCATGCATTCCCTTGGAACTCCATCTGTCCTATGTGAATATCAGCTCTGTGAGCCTTGTTTATGTGTGTTGGTTTACAACTCTATCTAGTTTGGTCTGTCAATATTTCTTTCCAGTTGGAATTGTCCTGAATCTGGTGTTGCTTGAACCGCTAGTTGGTTGACCTTGACTTTTTTGTCTGTTGTGGTTTGTGTTTCATGTGATCAATGCATTTTAATTAATTCTTGGGGGGTTTAAACCTAAGAAATATGTTGACTGAAACTCATATTATGCATATAAGATAATTTACCAACATATGGTGGCTATGACCATAGGTTTTCTTCTACTTCCTAGATGCTTCATTCTATATGCTCTGTGATTCTGAGCGAATTAGCAGAATTGTACAGTTGAAAGTTAGTTTACTGTAGTCTAATTTCTGATGCAAACTACTGATACGATCATCTGTTTATTAACTGCCAAGTAGTAATGTTTCAACATTGACAACAGGCATTGGAAGTGGTCGACATGGGTCGGCAGACTGAAATGGTGGCCGAGCTTGATGGTTCAGTCATGAAATGTGTTCGTGATCAGAATGGTAATCATGTTATCCAGAAGTGTATAGAATGTGTCGCTGAAGACAAAATTCAGTTTATCATCTCCTCGTTTTATGGACAAGTTGTGGCGCTTTCAACTCATCCTTACGGCTGTCGTGTGATTCAGGTTAAGATCGCCTTTTTTGTTCATTAAGCTTTTAAGCTCATGTCCCCCCTCACCTGTCCTCCGTTATTGTATTGATTGTTGATTCCTATGTTGGTCTTTTTCTTTTATGTGCAACAGCGGGTACTAGAGCACTGTAAGGACGAGAATACACAGCAAGTTATTATGGACGAAGTCATGCAATCAGTATGCACCTTAGCACAAGATCAATATGGAAATTATGTTATTCAGGTACCGCTGTCGCCTCTCTGATATGCATGGTCTCTCTTATGTCAAGGAGGAAAGGCTCATTTTTTTTGTTTTTTTTTTATAACATGGAAAGGCTCATTCTTGGTTCATAGGAGTCCATAATTTTAGCTGGTGTTTTTATGGATTCGTCTTGAATGAATTTCCTTCTTTCGTTTTGTCAGCCTAATTATTACTAACTTAGCAGATATCCTGATGCATGTAACTCATGCAAACTGGCGAACGTGTTTATTGCAATTCCTAGTTGTACATTGTCATTACCGTCCCTGACCTTCATGCCGATTGGTTCTTATTAGCACGTCCTTGAACATGGTAAACCACACGAAAGATCAGCCATCATCAACAAGCTTGCAGGACAAATTGTGAAAATGAGTCAACAGAAATTTGCTTCCAACGTAGTGGAAAAGTGCTTAACTTTTGGTGGTCCCGAGGAGCGCCAAATTTTGGTGAATGAGATGCTTGGTTCAACCGATGAAAACGAGCCTTTGCAGGTCCATTTCCTCCCACACTCAGTAAATGCTTTTTAACAACTACACAAAACTATATATTTGGTATTTTACAGTGTGCCATTCTTAGGTGCTAACTATCCATAGACATGTGAAAAGCAATTGGGTGGTTACTTCTCAGTTGAATGCGGGTGCAGGAATTTTGCTTGTGGGGATTTTGAAAACCTTTTCTGCCGGTTATGAAAAATGCAGGCCATGATGAAAGACCCATTTGGGAACTACGTTGTCCAAAAGGTTCTGGAGACGTGTGATGATCAGAGCCTCGAGTTAATCCTTTCTCGAATCAAGGTCCATTTGAACGCCTTGAAGAGGTACACATATGGAAAGCACATTGTTTCCCGTGTTGAGAAGCTCATCACAACTGGAGGTAAGATGGAATGCTTACTACTTTCTTTCTTTCCTCCCCCTGGTGACTGTGAAGTAAATTATTCTTCTTTCGCTATTATCTCCTGTTCATCGCTCTTGATCCATTTGCAGAGAGGCGCATAGGATTATCAGCCTCGGTCTCCACATAACAACTCGCTGGGGGAATCTAGAGAAGGCAAAAAAATAACAATAATTCTTCACCACCAACACTGCTTAAATAAGATCGGAGAACTGGAAGGCACAGCACATCTGTACAGTACAGCAGCTAACACGGGAAGTGATCGATTTTTCTCGATATCGCATATATCATCATCGTCGTCGTCATATATATAGCATCATTATGTTGGTAATTTTTCTTCTGCATAGAAGACATTTGTAAATAAGAGAGATAACAGTTTTTAGCAGGGGCTCGGCAGAATAAGAATCAAGGATGCCTTTCCATTGGAAATAATTTTTACAGTGTATATTCTTGAGCTCCTGAAGCAGAGAATGTTGAATTTATGATTTGAGACAGAGAGCTTGAGAAATGGGAGAGAGATGCAGGGACTTCTCAATAGGTATATAGTGAGTGAGTCATCCCCCAGTTCTGTTTACAAATAATGTAGAAATGAAGACCCTAGTCTTTTTGAGTGTAAAGAAGGGAGGAAGGAGGAGGTGAAGGAATGTAGTTTCTTTTGGCCTGGTGGAGTGGAAAGAAATGTTCATTCTATTTATGATAGTTTGAGGCAGCATTTGTTTCAAGGTAGGGTTATTTTATGTTGTTCCCCCTTCATTTCATCATTTAAGGTTATGCTACCTTATATTTCACCTTATCATGCTCCTAAGTCCTGCCACCATTATCCAACATTACTCAATGCCAACACTCGGGACCTCGAGCTCGCGCTAGTTGTTCAGTGGACGGTTTATGCACAACATACTAGCCATCTCAAGCCAACACACGTGTGCTCCAAGTAAGACGGGCCACTCAGGGTAACACTGGTCCACTCGAGGTTACTCGAACGTTTCTTGCGCTCACACAAGTTACCTCGGCCTAACTCTAGTTGCGCCGCGCCTTGGTTACCCCCTCTCCATTGCTAGTCAATATGATTTCGTGGTTGAAACAAACGTCTAAATTTAACCTGGGATCTACTCTTTTTTTATAAATTTTCTTGACTAATTGTTGATTGTATAAAAGGATATCCTTTTCAAGGAAGAATTTTATATGACGTGCATGTGGACGAAAGTATATTATCTTCCACCTAATCCTCATCTTCACAAATAGTTCCAGAAAAGGAAACTATACATTAAACTAAACTATTTATTGCCTTGCCCCGTTCTTGAAAATAAACGTCTGTCAGTCAGGCAACGGAATAAAGAAATTCTCCACTTCACGTTTCAGCAATCGGAACAGAAGCCGCCGCCGCCGGCGACGTCCTGACGACGTGGTACAGATAAACTGGCCTTCTGGGCCCTACCACCACAAAGGTTCTCTTTCTATATTTGTGTATTGTATATTTTTCGCCGGATTAGATAGATATAACTTGAAGAACAAGAAAAAAGTAATCAAATAGAAAGACACTCGTCCTCGATCTCATAACTTCCGCCAGCCATTTAGACGATCTTTCAGTTGCCATCTCGGTTCCGTTACGGCTTGGAGTTTCTTTTCTTTGGCGCCAATCCAACTTCCGCTTATGCCCTTTTATTGGTACGCTTCTGATAACCAGAAAAAGGCCTTTAGTAGATTCTCTCCTCTTGTATGCTTCTCACGTCATAGGTAATCGTTTTATCTTTTACTTGTGGGTTTTGCAATGCTTGTCAGTCCGATTTGGCACTTGGGTTTTTGGACGGTGGTGTGTTGATTTCTGGGTTGTGCACGGATTTCGTTCAAGGGTTTAAGGAGCTCCGAGTTCAGGGGCTTTAGGGTTTCAATAGCTGAGAAGGTAGGACTCGGTTCTGTGGAGTTTGGTGGAGGAGGAAGGCTTTTGTGACCAGTTTGATTATAACGTTCTCAACTTTGGAGGATTTGGTTGTTGTTTTATTTGATTTTAGGACCATTGATCTAGGTTCCCTTTGAACTCAGCTTCTTCCTTTAGTGTAAAGACTAAAGAAAAGAAATCATGTTTCACTCCTTTTGTGTTATGGCAGTGTTGGGACTTTCTTTCTGTTTTGGTACTTCGGCTGTTCCAAGTTTTTAACTCTGGCTTCTTGACAGGCTTTACCTCATCCTTGGGGTTTTCTTATTTTGGGGGAAGAAAAGGAGACAAAGGTTTCTTGCCTTACTTTTTGAAGATATGATCGTTCATGAACAAGATCCTGATGTTGTTCGGTGGGGCCTTCACAATCTGATAGGTGTCTTTGGAGTTCGCAAGGATGGTTCGTGTAGTGGTGTTACTCGGTATGAAGCAGACCAAAGCCAAGTTGATTATGTAAGGGAGGGCTATAACAAACCGGCATATAGCAACAATGTAGAGAGCGATGCAGTTATTGCACGTGCTCTGCAGGAAGAGTTCTCTCGTGTAGCAGCTGCTGAAGCGTCTGGTCGACTTGGCAATGGACGAGAGTCCATTGTTTCACAGGACTGGTTTAGTCCTTCAGGAATTGGTAAGAATTTTGGAGTAGGTTTTCCATATGATTTTTTTCTAGTTATTAAGTCTCCTGATCCTTAATAATTTGTCTTCACTGAAATGTTAGTAATATTATGCTCTACTTGTAGATCATGAGATTGGCCAGAGAATGGGCGTTAATGATAAACCTGATAGAAAGGGGGTTGCCCACTGCACACAAAAGGAAGCAGATGGCTTTAGTGATAAAAAAGTAGAAGATGGTGATGAAGTGCCCATATCAGTTTCTTCATCTTTCCAGGAAGCTAAGCATCCTAGTGTGGAAGACGAGCCATTTGATTTAAACATAGCGGATGAGTATACCCTTGATGGTGAAGTGGGCAAAAGGATCAATGAGAAGATGGTTCCTGTTCCTGTAAGCATAATGTTTATGAAGTAACTCATGTTATTCTAGGTGAAGAACATAACTATTTTGACTGCAGAAATATAATGAATGTCAAAACATTTTTATTTTTTTGTTTCATAATTTTATCTTCTCCAAATATGTATACAAAAAAAATATGATCATTTTTATGATTCACATTGGTCCGTCCTAGTATTTTGTCCTTGCATCCGCTTACTTTGGTAGTATGAACACCCCTTCTCGGAATCTGTTTAATGTATGTCATTGTTGATTCAATTGTAAATAAAGAAGATATCCAGAATGCTTGCTTTGCAAATCTTCCAGTAGGATTCTAGTTAAATATCTGTTTATGTGCAGCATTTACCTAAGATTAATGGAGAAATACCAACACTGGATGAAGAGGTTTCAGATCATCAGAGACTCCTAGACAGGTCAGCGTTGCCTAAGTTATAGCTTTGCAATTTAGTGCATCTGTTAGAGTTGGATGCTTGTGTGTTAAGAGAAGTATTTGCCTGCACATGAGAAAAGATGATGAACTGAATTATGCTCTCAAGGTTTTGTTGTAACTGGAACATGCAAACGCTTTATGTTTCTGTTATCAACCCCTGTACTAGGCCATTTGTTGACCAGGAATAATTGTTGTTATGTTATGCCTGACGCGTCATGCGGGGGAGGCTCTTGGTTCTTGCCCTGTAGAAGACCTTGCTTGCTGAGCAAGTCTCTGACATTGTTGCTTTCCCTTTTCAAGGTTGAAGGTATATTCTCTCATCGAGAATAAGGTTCAAGGAGACGGTAATTGTCAGGTTGGATCCCTTGTATTCATAGTGAAAAGCTATATATTTAAACAAAATTTCAACCCCCAAGTAGTCAAAGTCCAGAGGTCTCATTAACATTATGGATTTTCAGTTTCGTGCTTTATCAGACCAACTATATCGCTCTACTGAGCACCACAAAGTTGTCAGGCAGCAAGTGGTTGATCAGGTGAGCTAGTGTGATTGTGTTTTCCTGTATCGTTCCCTCTCCTTCTAGCCACTTCTATGCCTGATGCTATTGACCTTGTTTTCATGACCAGCTAAGGTCTTGCCCTGAAATGTACGAGGGGTATGTTCCTATGCCTTACAGCGACTATCTGAACAACATGTGCAAGTATGCTTACTTCCTTGTAATGCTTGTCTTGATAAATCTTTTTCGTCAATCAACCATTCATGCTTACAATTATTTGCTTTTTTATTGATTAACTATAGGCCTGGTGAATGGGGTGATCATGTCACGCTACAAGCTGCTGCAGATTCAGTATGTTCCTTCTGTTGTTTGCTTAGTCAGTTTCTTGAGTTTCCATCACTTCAATATAGGGTTCTGCAGGAATCCAGGATCCACAGGAGATATCTTTTTTATCCTTTATTACTTGGAATCAGTTGGCTAATAGATCTTTTCTCAATGAATTGCAGTATGGAGTGAAGATATTTGTGCTTACCTCTTTCAAGGACACATGTTATATTGAGATCGCGCCCCATGTTGAGAAGTCCAAACGCAGTAAGAATTTCGGAAAGACAATCCTGAGTCTTCGATTTGCTCTTAGATTGGCCCCATGTTGAGAAGTCCAAACGCTTTAATCACAGAATTCTGCATATGATGAATGTAGTAGATCCATATCCCTGCTCTGAAACTGCTTCTTCACTAAGCTAAGATGGCTTTATCTTTTTTTTCTTTCTTTCCTTTTCTGCAGTTATATTCTTGAGCTTCTGGGCAGAGGTGCATTACAATTCAATATACCCTGAAGGAGGTGAGAGATGTTTCCCCTTTACCCTTTCGCAAGCGATATGAAAGTTCTCTTCATTCGTTTTTTTAACATGTCGAATGATATGAAATAGTTGTTTAGAGAATGCTAGAAAAATTATGCTTCTTTCCCTGTCTGAACTTTGATTTCTCTACAGAGTCGTTCTTGGCTGAGGAAAATAAGAAGAAGAAATGGTGGAAGCAGCCTCTCTCCAATTAGAAAATGGGCAATGAATTTACATATATGCTTTGGCCAAGGGGTCGCAGCTTTTTTCTTGGGGCATAAGCTTCCATCCCTGAATGTTGCTGCTGTTGGTTCTTGACAGATGCTTGATAAAATTCCATTGTATATGATACAAAGAATTACTTGCTCTCTTTCATCTCCATACAGGGGAGTCCCTCTCAATTTTGTGTACATATGAACCGGATTGTACATAACAGCCGATGCGCCTTATAGTCAGTATTAGTGTATAATACAAATCTTTTTAGTACTGAGAATGTCTGGCTACTTGGTTTCTATTACATATCAAAACCAACAAACATGTATGTGGTTCGGGGAAAATCCATTCATACCGTCCTTCTGGATGTTACGTAATGTTGTAAAATATGGATGTTGATTGACGTAATTTATGAGATATTATTTTCATAGTGAAGAAGAATGAATAAGACATTCTAGAGCATACTAGTAGCACAAAGTTGATCAGTTAGGTGCAGATTTTTAAAATATCAGTATCTATCAAAACAATCCTTTTCTTGTCATATTAAATAAAACGCTCAAAAGTTATATCAATTGGATACTGATATGAATTTTTTTTAGGCAAAATACACTTGTATAACCAAAACTTTCACGTTTGTGCCAATAATAGCCAGATTTGCAGAAATACCACTTATAGCCACTTCCGTCCAATACTTTAACGGTGTTATCTAACAGGGTGATTGGACTAACAGCAACGATTGACGTGGCATATTTTATTGGAAAATAATGACAGGTGGAAAATAGTTACTGTTTTATTTTTAAATTTTAATTAAATTAAATGAAAATTATAAAAAAGCAATAAATTCATAAAAAAAGAGCAATAATTCCAGTCGTCTTCCACGGGGGTAAAATACATCGGATACCACTTAAGTTTCAGAATTGGGGCACGCATACCATTTAATTTTGAATAGGGCGTCGGGTACCATTGAACTCTATTATTTGTGCACCCGGTACCACTTAAGTTTAATATTAAGTGCATTCCGTTAAAGTTAACAGAATATGCTTGGAATATTCTGTTTTCTAAATTTCTTAATTGGTCCTTCTACTTTTCTTATTGTAAAAAATCATTTTTGACTTATGAAAAACATCAATTTTATTATTTAACTGGTATCCTCTTTTGAAAATTTGATACCAAATTAATTTTTGAATAGAAAATTTAAAATCAATTATTATTATAAGTATTTTCAATTATTATTATGTATTCTAATAATTGAATTATTCTCTTTTTTTTTTTGTGAAGATTTTGATACTAAACCAATTTTTGAATAGGAAATGTAGAATCAATTATCATTATAAGTACTTTAAATTACCATTATGTGTTATAATAATCGAATAATTTGCTTAAGCAAATATATCTTATGAATTCTATATCGATATAAATAATATGAGGATGTTATATTTAATTCTCGTACATCATCTGGATGTTGTATAATTTTCTTGGTTACTTTCGTTCTAAATTTTCTTCAATTACTGTAATATGTTTAATTCTTTCTAACTATGTTCTATTTATCATTCTTTGATCTTGATGTATTGATGATCGATTAGATTCTATTTTAACTATTTTTAATGGTACTTCTTATCGGATTAGTGATTTAAATAGATCTTCTAATATTGATTTTAAATATTTATTATTATATTCTATATATTTATTCTTCTTCTTGATATTTGTTTATTATTTTTACTAACTTATCTATTTTATTGAAAATTTTGATTAGTCATTTTAGTAATATTATGTTTAGAAGGTTTTTTAATTTCTATATTAGATAAAAACTTGTTGAAATATAGTTTTGGATGTTTTTAAGAGTTTTGGGTACCAAAAAGTAATTAAAATTTTGGGTTGGATGGAAAACTAGACAGATGCACATTTTGGTGACTTTAATGGTACCCGACGCTCTATTCAAACTTAAGTGATATGTCTGCCTCAATTCTCAAACTTTAGTGATACCGGAGTATTTTACCCTCTTCCACCGCCTCTTCACCTTCCCATCTTCCAAATCACGGCCGCTCTCGTTCTCTCTAATTCTTCATCTCCATCAAACGACAAGAAAAAGATTCTTCCCAGAAACGATGACAACCTACAAACAAAATCCTTTCTTCTCATCTCATCTTTATCGTCTTCTTTCTCTTGTAAAAACGCCCAAATCTGCCAATCAATCTTCTTGTTCGAATCTCCTTCTTGTCGCCGACCCTTGCTCCGATGTGTTCGTCAAGTTCAAGCTTCTAGTGAAGAGCATTCTCGATCTGCCTTCTCAAGACGGAGATGTTTCCACGACGGCGGCAACGACGGGTCTGGACCCTCGGGGCACTGCCTAGATGGTGATATTGGAGAATCGAGGGGGCCAACTCGAGCGGTGATGGAGTGGGGATTGGAACGAGCAGATATTCCCCGGAGCGCCTAATATGACGATGAAGCCACCGATTACTTCCTTCTACGCATCTCAGATCTAACCAGAAAGCGACAGGAGATCGTATTTTGGTTATTTCCCACAATCAGCCAACACTTCGTTGAGGTTCCGGATCGGTTGGGACGGAATTGAAGAGCGGCTGAAAAAGGGTGGAATATATTTGGGGGAAGAGGAGATTTTTTTCGTTGATTGGGAAGAGTCGAAGAGGATAATTCTCGCCGGAGGAGAACTTCCAGGAGGAGGGATTTTTTGTGGAATTTTCCCCCCTTTTTTTTGTTACCAACGACCATGGAGAGAGAAAGGAAAAAGTGATGTGGTGAAGACAAAAAAAATCAAGTAATTATTTTATATATTATTTTATTTTCATTAATTAATTCCTGACTTGTAATTATAAAATGAATTTAAATTATGACGTGTCACTTTTTTGGCTTATTTGGCGCTGATGTGTGTGTTGTGTACGAGCCTAGTCAGCGAACCGTTAAAGAATTTGACGGTGTTACTAACACCGTTAAAGAATTTGACGGAAATGGCTAGATTTGTCATACAACAACTAGAAAATCTGTCTATAAGTGGTATTTCTTCAAATCTGGCTATTATTGGCACAAACGTGAAAATTTTGACTATACAAGTGTATTTTGCCTTTTTTTCATGAATATATGGATTTTCCATACATTTGGAAAAGATCCACCCTTGAGCTCAACAAATCACCAAATTGAGCTATCACGTAAATCTTGTATACTGAGCAAGACTAAGCTCAAATTCGGCTCATAAAAAACTAGTTAAGTATATATGAGTATTTTTCAAGGCCAACGACGAATCGCCATGAGCCCATGATCAATTTTTCTCATGAAGTGCAAAACAAAGCCCAACTCCCATGACCAATCACCGCCACTTAACTTCCGTTTCCCGCCGACGATCTGCTTACAGCAGTTAGCTGTCGACTTTCCCAGCGGCCATCCCCAATTTCAAACTCCCCCCAAAACCCTATCTAGCCTCCGATTTTCTAGACTCCTATCTGATTTTCTCTCCAACCCGTATGATCGTAAGAAACTGGAAGTCCAAATGCATCAAAGCTCTAACCCCAGCTTCCCAAAATCTCATCTTTCCGCTACCTAACAATGATCCACCAAATCTCCAATGTTCTTACACCCAAACTCAGAGCTACGTTCAAGTGACTATGAAATGGAAGAAAGATCCCTACTTCGACTCAATCGAGCCCATCTACAAGTCCACGGAGCTGAAGCGCATTGTTTCTCTGAAGAACGTCATAGCTCGGAACCCCAATGGTTGCATCCCCATCTCTGATGTGTCAAAGAAAGGTCTGCAATTTGATCTGAAAATCAAAGTGGCTAGGTTTTTCAGGCAATACCCATCAATCTTCGAGGAATATGTTGGCCCCCATCATAATTTGCCTTGGTTTAGGTTGACCCAGAAAGCAGCCGAGATTGATAGAGAAGAAATGAGTGTTCTCGAGGATCATAAGGGGGATCTGAGGGAGAGACTGAAGAAGTTCATTTGGATGAGTAAAGAAAAGGCAGTACCTTTGAACATCATCCAAGGGATGGCATGGTATTTGGGTATGCCTGATGATTATCTGCAGAGATTCGATGATGGGTCTTTCAGATTAGTGGATTTGGAAGGTGGGTTGAAGGGTTTAGCCGTTGAGAGCCAAGGAAGAGTACTATCTGTCCTTCAGAAGAACGCCATGAAGCAAGGGGTTTATTCAGGAGAGCCAATGGAGTCATTACAGTTTCCTCTCTTTCCATCAAAAGGTTTGAGGCTTAAGAGGAAGATAGCTGATTGGCTCATTGAGTATCAAAAACTTCCTTATGTGTCACCATATGAGGATTACTCCTATTTGGATACAGACAGTGATATTGCAGAGAAGAGGGTTGTGGGGTTTCTTCATGAGTTGCTTTGTTTGTTTGTAGATCATTCAGCTGAAAGAAAGAAGCTTTTGTGCCTGAAGAAGTATTTCGGCTTGCCCCAGAAAGTGCACAAGGCGTTTGAAAGGCATCCCCACACTTTTTACTTGTCTTTCAGGAACAAGACCCGTACAGCGATTCTAAAGGAGGCTTATCGCCATGAGTCAGCCATAGAGAGACATCCTTTGTCAAGAGTTAGGCAGAAGTATGTTGAATTGATGATGGAGTCCGGCCCCATTTTGAAGAGGAGAAGAAGATCAAGTAATCAAGTTAAGGCTATTGGTAATGAGAAATCCGAGTCTGATTTGGATTGCCACTATGGAAGTGTTCTAGCAAGAACAGAGTATTCATCAGACGAAGTAGTTGCAGGAGGGAGTTGAGTTTGGTAAAAAGTATCCTCAGGAATCTATGGTGGGTTAGACATTCCAGCGTTGACATGATAAACGGGCATGACGAGTTGGCTATGTAATCAGACTTTTACATCAGCAACGAAAAAACTCTTCTGCTGCTCCCCAAAACGTTGGTAACAAACCCTTTACAATAACAGTCCTCACCTCTTAAGCAGAGAAGAATACCCATGTCAGCTGAACAAAATTAGTAGGATGACAATCAGTTCACTCCCTTTCGTGATGCTCTCAGAAGCTTTGGTCTCTGTATTCGCCAACAGAACCATCCCTTGCCTCCCATTTTCATGCTGAGGTTCAGACGAGGAATTCGTCTGGAAGATTCTGGATCCCTTAGCGTCTTCATTGGGAGTTGGGGACTAGTCCCGAGTTGTGCAGAATCCATGATTTTGTTAAGCATCTCCAGAACCTCACTCATCTTGGGGCGTGCTTTAGCCTGTCGCATGAGGCACCTATTGGCCACTGCAGCGAGTCTCTGGGCGGACTTGAGATCGTACTTTCCTTCCAGTTTGGGGTCCAGAATCAGCCTGAATTTCCTCATATCAGAGAGGTGCTGCCTCACCCATTCCAACAGCTTTTGTTCATTCTTCGGCTTGTTCCGGTCCAAGGGACGCCTGCCTGTGATGAGTTCATACAGGAAAACACCGTAGCTCCACACATCGCTCTTTGCTGTGAGACGCCCGGTTTGTATGTATTCAGGAGCTGCATACCCAATCGTCCCCACAACCTGAATCAAAAGAATATTAAGATGGTTTCCACTAGGTCATTTCTCTGCAAGACATTGTAAAATGGAGAGTGGAATTCAAGTTCCCGTATAAAGCCTGAAACTTACTGCAGTCGAGACGTGGCTCAAACCCTCCGAAGGCCCCAACCTAGCCAACCCAAAATCTGACAACTTAGCATTCCATTCTTCATCCAGAAGTATGTTAGATGACTTGAAATCTCTGAAAATGATCTGCATCAACATTCAGATGGGAATTGGCAACTGATTATCAGTCACTAACCTTCCAGTGTCCCCCATTCTGCCAAAGATGAAACACATTCTGTTACCTGAAAATCCATTCCTTCATGGAGGTAAGCAAGTCCCCTGGCTGAGTCCTGAGCAATTTTCATCCTTGTACCCCAGGAAAGTGGCGTCTGAAACCGACTTGTTAAGTGATCCTGCACACTTCTGTTCGGCATGTACTCGTAGACCAGTAGCCGCTGGATGCCCCTTTCGTCGTCTTCAGCACAGTAGCCGATCAGCTTGACGAGATTTTGGTGTTCAACAATGCCCAACACATTGACTTCTGTAACCCATTCCTTATGTCCCTGTGTGCAACCAAAATGCAAGAACAAATCAGAAAACCAACGATGCCTGGATTTCGGAAGCGGGTTGTTTTCTAGTGAGCTAATTGAGATAATCTTGATTCGGTCCTGTAATGATTTAGCATTTTATAATCATACAAGTTGGGGCAGCACTGAAAAGAACAAGGAAGTAAGGTCAAAGAAAGCTTCTTTACCTGGAGCCCTCTTCTGCTCAACTGCTTGACAGCAATGTCAATCTTCTTCCCATGATCCTCCGCGCTCTTGATCACCCCTCTATAGACTCCGCCAAACCCACCTTCTCCAACCATTAACGATCTGCTGAAGTTCTTGGTGGCCGACTTCAACTCCGAAAATGTGAACACGCGAAGGTTACTGCTCTGCAGCAGCTGCTGTCTTCTCTGAGACATTACCGCGAACGAGTTCTGTGCAGACGATTCGGTGCTGAAATCGGACATGTTCTGGGAATTGAACTCCGACCCAGATCTTCTCATGTCAAGATCAGTCGAATTCGACATGGAAACCGAAGAAGAATTCGAGTTCCCTGAAACCGATTTGAGCACTGCTGGCGGCGGCGACGGTATCCCTCCTCCTCCCCCTCCTCCTCCTCCACCATTTTTCTCTCTGCTCGAGAAGTAATGGAAACACTTCATAGCCACTGATGCAGGAGAAAGAAAGGACAAAAAAACAGGGGGGAACAGAAATGAACAAAAATTCCACCTTTCCCACAGCAAAATCAACGAAATGTAATAAAGCCGGATTCTTTGTAGCGCCCCAAGAAGAATTACTACTTTTTTTTCCCTCGACGAAGACAGGTCACCAGTCTCCTTCTAAAACAATGTCACGGAGAAGCGAAATTGGAGAAGGTGATCATGGTTTTTAATGCAGATTTGTTTATTGTTATGGCGCCATGAAAGCTTATTATTAAGAATGGGAAAAGGGCAGCAAGAACGAGCAGTCCATGATGTGAGGCAGGTCAAATCCGCGGCAGCTGGATTCGTTGTAGCTCACCAACCGTAAAACCGAGGAGATGAGAACTAAAATTAAAGTATGAAAATCCTCAAAACTCCTTCCCGCGGAACCGTGTCATCAGAGTATTTGTTAAACCTAAAAAAAGTATGAAATACAGACAATTTTGAGTGATTTGGATTTGTTTGATTCAGTCCCCTAACTGAAATGTGAAATCTATCTCGTAGGTGTGATTTGCAGAATTCAAGTTATCCCAAGTGATTTGGGCTCATTACGCGAGAGTGAAGAAGCTTGTCTGTAGTTTTTCACTCTAAGTCAGGTGTGGGGCGACTATCTCTTCAAGATATTGATAACTCGGAAATATAAACCAGACTCGTATAACGATTTTGACGTGATTCGTGTTATCATTCGATGTAAATAATATTACTCGTGGATACTCCATAAAGCTCTCATTTATTTCTTTGTTACTCATAGGCAGGGGCGGACCCAAGGGGTTTAGGGGTGTCCCGGGACACCCCTAAATTTTGAGAAAATAATTATCCAACCTTCGGTGGTAATTTACGTACGGACAAATAATTATAATTGACAGTGAGGGACACCCCTGAAATTTGAATAAACGATTATCCTACTGTCACTTTTTAAATTTGTGTATGGGAATATAAGTGGTAGGTTGGGTAATCAAATCTAGAACACTATTATTATTATTATTATTATTATTATTAAACATAATTTCCATTAACCTACAACTCATTTGTTGTTCGATTTAGAACATTGTGTAATAGTAAAATGTCATTCCTATCTCTAATTATTTTCAAATACTAACAGTTAATAAACTAATTTCAAGCTACCATTAATTTGTATTTATTTTATGGTTGTACGGCAAGTGTTAAAAGAGTATTTCAGCTTTGGGTTACATAAAAAATGAGTTACAAATCGAATATGTGATCAGTTCGTGAATGATTGTTTAGTAGGGTATATAGAGACAATTTCTTAACACTGTAGACACCAAGTGTATTCTACAATTATTTCTGAATATGAAAACACATCATGAACTTTTTGTAACATGTACGAGTAAGGTATTTTCTTATATACGATTTTTTTTATTTTTTTTTAAAGAGGACACCCCTATGTAAAATTTCTGGGTCCGCCACTGCTCGTAGGCGTACCACAAAAGTTCTTGTTTTCTCACAAACTTAAAGGGGGCAAATGAATTTGATTCAAATGGATCGGTGGATTCTTAGATTGGATTAAAATGGATTGGTAAATTGGATTGATGAATCTAAGTTGCATCTAAACATTGGAGCGATATGAACAATTTGAAAAGTTTAGGTACTAAAATGTCATAATAACAAATTCCAAGTACCAAAATGCAATTACCCACAAATATAGGTACTAACTTGCAATTTGCTCATAAATCCATGGATCCATCAAACTAATTGAATTTCGATTAAATTAACTGGATAATGGATTTAAATAAATTGGATTAATTGATATTTTGATAGATGAATTGGATACATAATTACCATTTCTGACAAACTACATTGTAGACAGCTTGGGTTGTAGACCGACTGACCGAATTACATGATTAATTAAAAAAAAACAACAATTCCAACAAACCAACAACTAAAAATGAGGATAGAGTTTGCGTTGTTGCTAGTTGCTACTAAACACTCCTTCTCAAGTTGAGCCAAAGATACCATGAAGGCGAGGTTTGCAAAAGATGGGTGAACTATTATGCTCCCATCCCCTTTATGCAAAATGACGACCAACTGGTGATTGGTCGAGATCTTTTCGAGGTACTATCTTTGATGACACCACATGTTCTCGAATAAAATAGTAATCCATTTTCATGTGCTTAATATGTTCACTAATGGAAGACGTGATAAGTAGCAATATGCAATGATGTTGGATCATCGCAATGCAGTGGAGTTGGCTCTTGCGTGGATATCCCATGTTCTTGCGCAAGCCATCTCAACCAGGGGCGGAGCTAGGATTTCGATACCGGGTGGCCCGAAATTAATTAAATAAAAATAATTATTTTAAAAGTATACAACGTTATTTGAAATCATTGAAAAAACACTCAAAATAACATTAAAACTAAATGTTTTTGCTATCTTTCTTACGGTATAGTCTAAAAATCATTGAAATCACTCAAAATAAAGCAAAATGTGAAGTAGTGGTGAATTGAACATAGGTGCTTCACACTAAAAACAAAATTAGCTACCAGTAGACTACATAATAATCAAATGAAATAATGTTTTGGCCGAGTACTACTTATTCAAATTTTATCTAACTATCCTTAATGTACTAGGGGTCAATGCCCACCTTACCTTCCAAGTAGCTCCGCCCCTGATCTCAACCACACTACTTCATTGCAAATACATGTAATTTTCTCCCTTAACCACCATCACATCATTTGGGTCATTGTGAATTTGTGATATCACATTTGCCTCGTGCCTTTCAACACTTGTGTCTTGCCATTTTAGATCTAATTATGTTGTTTTGATGATGTGATGCTTTTTTTTTTTGTGTGATTCGGGGTATCGAGAATATGAACAATAATTTTGAAAAAAAACATACAAGAAACATATTTCATGTAATCCTCTACAAGCAACTCATAATCCATTTCTTTATATGAAATACCATAAACAAACACTTGAATTCTCACTATTCCAAAATTAAGGCCATAGAATGATTTGGTTTATACTAAATCAAATTGACATTAAAACGGACCCAAATCATATCAAATGTAAAACAGTTAAGTTCTCGCCCCCCACAAAATTTATGAAATGAAAGAAAAAGAGACCGGATCGATATTTGAACCAGACTGGTTGAGGATCAAACCGCGTCATATTGCACACCCCTATCAACAATTAATCTCCCACTTCCACTAACTTAATTGCAGTTGACTTATTTCCAAAGAAGAACAAACAAATACCACCAATATGAGTTGAGTCGTCCCATATTAAGTCGATATCACGAAAACAAGGAAAAGAACAAGATGGATGGTTGCAAATACAAAGGGACGAACTTTGGACAGCTTTTCTTCTTGCTCGGAAAATGGAGATTGAGAGAGTTTGCAATATGGTTATATGCCATTTGCCTTCACAGGGGAAAAAAAGGATTATTGAGGATATTCCATAGTTCCAAATCTTGGTTAATTATTAACTACTAGCTAATGGTTGTACTTAATAACGGATTATATGTATAGAACTGGTCAACAAATCGTTGTTAGCACCACCCGGTTCCATAATCCGGCGGGAAGGACCAACGAGAACGGGACAAAACCAGCATATTTTAGGAAATTATGAGCTTGGATGTTGTTTCCTCGTGGATTCGCTCTGCTAGCAATTAAATCCTATAGCGTCCCGAATCCGATCTAATTGACTAGGATGAAATATGAACTAAAAATAATTTTAATTGGGTATGAGTAAAATTCGAAAGAAAGATTTTCATACTATTACACTCGAACTCGCTTGATTATAAACACTAGTTATTTAGCCCGCGCTATGCAGCGGATTATTTTATATGATGTATTTTTGTTGGTAAAAATTAAATATCATAATACATTATAATTTCTTTACTTTAATTTTTTTAATCTTTTTATCAAATCATGTGGAGTCTTTTTGCAAGTAAAACGATTTTTTCATGATTTCTTAAAATTTCGAATTACGTTTCAAATACTAAAACCTTGATATAGACGGTAAGATCTGACTATGTTACTTATGATCTTAGAATGGCCAAAATTATCCAATCTAACCATAGAATTGGTAATTGATTTAAGACATTTGATTTTACTCGTAAAATTTGTCTATATTTTCAATAACTTCATATCCACTCCTTTCTAAAAGAATAATAATTTTATAAATACCGGTATCAAAAGTCAATGAATGTTAACCCTACACTGATACAGTAAAAATTGGCTGGACTTTTTCTAGCTTGCATCCAACTCAAAATTAGACACCCTATATGGTTCGCGATTAACATAGGCAGGCATTTCGTATGATACATTGTTCATTCTATACTTTTAGAGATTGGCCTTCAAACATCTAGAAAGTTTGACTTCTAAATATTTTTTTTCCAGTAATTGTTGTGTTCTCATAGTTAGTTCATGCTTGTTTTATCAAGTTTTTCGAAAAAATACAACTGTTCAAAGACAGTACAACAGCGACATCATGCTACTCAAATTCTCTCCTACCTTCTGATCACAGTATCACAAACAGACATCTAAAAATGGCTCTCAAATTGAGGACATATTTCTGCATCAGCTATCTTCATCATTTATAAATGGAGCTGCTTCATGAGTTAAATGCCAGATACAATAACAGAAAACTCGCCTCAGACAACATATAAACTAAAGAATAAGAAACTATTTGACTATTTCACTATTGCAATAACAATGGTGAGGCCGAATGAGAGCATGCACTCTTCCATAATGCGGTTAACATAATTTTGCTCTACTCTGCACAAACTTCTTTCTGGTACGTAGCAGTAAGCCAAGAACCATAATAAGCATGTTCCATCCATCTCTAACAATTTGCCATCTGAATGGCTCGGCATTGGCACCCTATTATTTATAAGATACATTGGGGAAAGAAACAATAACTAATATGCAAGTACGTTCCAGAAAAAGTCCATATGCATGTAAGCAGATGACTTATCGCTTTAGAGAACAGCGAAGTCAAATGGGAGAATGGAATTTGAACCCCTCTGCTTTGGTCTCAAACCACATTCTCTGCTTTAGGCTGCTTTCCTAAGAAGGCTTGAAATCAGGAAAGCGGTGGAGATATAGCAGCAGAAGCATATAAGTTCATAAGCTATAACTCTTCTTTAGCCATCGAATTGAAACTAAGGACTACTCTTAACCCAACTTTTCACGCTTGGAAAAGTGAAAACACCATGTATTGACTGAAAACGCATTAACTAATAATAACATCAAACTCGTGGAGAACGTACCGCAATGAATTCAACCACGAAAAGGGGAAGCTAAAAGAGCAATACGGGAAAGCTATCAACTCACATCCAAGGTATGCTAAACTGAAGTTTTTCATTGTGGTTAGACTATTGGTAAAGATCCATTGACATTATATTTTCCAACTCAAGAACCAGCTTTAGTCGCTATTTCAATCTAACTGGCAGACTTGGAATTACAGAAAGAAGTCTA